ACTCAGGACCTTGTGCTTACCAGGCAGACTCTGTGCTGCGGAGACTATCGTGTGTGTGTGTGTGTGTGTGTGTGTGTGTGTGTGTGTGTGTTTGAGTCAGGGTTTTACTTTGTAGCTCAAGCTGGTCTCTAACTCAACAACTATCTCCGTGCCTCAGCTTCCCGAGTGCTAGGATTACAAGTGTGCGCCACCATACTCAGCTCCGGGGACTGTCTTAAAACACAGTGCTGGGTGTAGTGGAATATTACTTTGCCATAAAAAGGGGGTGGGCATGTTTGGGAAAGCACTGTGCCAGGTGAAGGAAGGTGGACAGCTACAGAGGTTACGCACAGTGACCCCATATGTGTGACATGTCCAGAGTCCAGAGGAGGACAGCCCTAGGGCACAGAAGGCAGTGACGCACTGTCTAGCTCAGGCTGGCCTTGAACTCATGTGGGCGATCCTTCTGCCTTAGCCTCCAGGTGCTGAGATCACAGGCGAGTGCCGCTGCGCCATGTGCAGTGTGTTCTCTCTCTGGGAGCAGACCCTTGGCTGAACTCTGTGGCAGACACTGGTGAGCCCAGAGAAAGCCCAGTTCCTTCCTCTTGCCATAGCTGGCTGCAGCTGCCTGGAGTCTTCCAGGTGACACGTGGCCCAGGCTCAGCTAGACCTGGGCGGACTTTACACCCCACTTTTGGGGCTCTCTTTCTGGGGTTCCCTTCTTCCATTTTCTCATACTCTGTCATCTGCTGTGAGTTCCTGTTTTCTGCATTATTGAGCTTCAAGGCCAAGAGTGGCGCTCAACGCAGGGCACAGCTGAGGCTTGTCCTCAGCACAACCTCATGAAGCCGGGGCCCTCTCTCAGCATGCAGCAGTTCTTGCAACTTCACCTGCGTTTGGCTGCCCTCCAGCGTGTCTTGCTGTTGTTCTGTCCCTGCACTGTGTGTTGGGTGCAACTGCTGTGAAGACTGAGCCCCAGGGAGCTGGGGTGACTCTGATCAGACACTGTGCTGGCCTCCATGGTCAGGGCCGCAGGCTATGGGGACACGGGCTCCACCCGTGAGCACATGCTCGATACCCTGCGAGGGGCACATAGTGACCCCAAGACCATAGTGGTAGGAAGACCACCACCCTGGCGGTGGAGTGAGGTGTGGTCAGGAGGGCTTCCTGAGGAGGTGACGCTGGACATGGGCCCCAACTCTAGGGAAGCAGGCGGCCTGTACCTGCCCAGGGGAGCTACCAAGTGGCTGATTTAGGTGTCCCAGAGATAGGACCGCTGGCTGTCAATGCAGGCAGCTTTTCCTAAGGCAAAGCCTGAGGACATTCACTAAATATAGACAAATATATTTGGAATCCCTGCACTGTTGGAGGCTGAGGCAGGAGAATTACAAATTCACACCTAACCTGGGCAATTTAGTGAGACCTTGTCTCAAATAATAAAGTAGGTTGGGGATCAGCTCAACGCAGAGGGCCTGGGCTCTGCCCCCAGTACTACAACAAGCAGATCTCAGGAGCGGATGCTCAGTACCCACGGGCCTCGGCCAAACCTGAGGCTGCACTCTCTTGGCCTTGGTGGGAGGGACCACAGCAGCTCCATGGTTCTTGCTGCTGCAAGGATCAGAGGGGCTGGGGCCGGGGCCGCGCCAGAGGCAGCAGGGCCTGCGACCCTTCTGCACACTTCCCAGCAGTGGCTGCAAGCTCTGCGGTTGGAAGCAGAGATGGCACAGACTCCAGCGCTGCCTTCAAGAGGAGTTCCCTCTCCCACGGTCATGGGGGGATCGTAGTGATGTCCCCCTTGGGAGCTGGGCTGAGGTTCAGAGGACAGTGGATATGAAATTGACACAGACATTGTAAATTGCTTGCAGACATCAGTGCCTGTTACTGTGGTAACCGCCCAGCTACGGCAGACCTCGTTGCCCCAGTAGCAGTGGTTTTGTTGCTGTCTTAATTTAATAGTGTTGTTATTTTCCCCATCATAAAAATAACATGCATTATGCATGGGCCTAAATGCACCAGACATGCACATTAAGTTATGCAATTTTGCATATCAATTATGCCCCCAATAAAGCTATTAAAATAATACACATTCATTACAGAAAATGTAGAAAACACAGAAGAGTAGAAAGAAGAGAAAAAAATGATTGTTTCGACAGCAGCAGAGCAGGCCCTGATAGCCTCTTGGAAAATTCTCTCCCACTTTTCCCCTGTGAGCTTGCCTCTTCCTCCGGGCTGTGATCACTGGTCTATATAATTAAACTCGTTTTATACACAATTTTACATCCTATTCTTTCCCCTTAAGGGGTTTTTAACATGCAATGGTGGAAAGCAGAGCCACCCTGGGGCCCAGCGTGGCTGGGTTGAGGCTGGGCTTCAGCCTCTGGGTGTCCCTGGATAGTCAGCATCAGGTGGCGGGGACATCGTGACTCTGCACCCCGTGGCCCTGTGGTTTCCCCCAGGCGCTGCCTCCTTGGTTTTGTCTAAGTACAAAGGCACGCGTGTCCTCCTGATCAGCGGCCAGGGGCAGCACACTCATCCGGCTTCCAGTCCTTTTCTGATGTCATCACAGCTGGCATCTGCCGGGGCGCAGAGGGCCAGGCAGGCCAGGGGCTGCTTCCCAAAGCATGTCTGCCTCTGCCCACCGCACACAGGACCACGGAGGCCTTGCGGGGCAGCTGTGGCCTTAGGAGTCAAGAGCTGTCCTGGTGGGGGAGAGTGGTCACAGACAGGGCAAGTGTCCTGGGAAGAGACCGGGCTGAGGGGCATGAGGCGGCTCTGAGCGCGCTCTGGGGTGCAGATGGCAGATTCAGCAAGGGGCACACATCGGGCCTTTGGGGGAACAGAAGTGACAAGGGACCGTGGAGACTGGAGCCTGTGGTCAGAAGTGGAAGGAGGGAGAGGGAGACAGAGGAGGCTGGGCTGGACAGAGTCGTCTCCTTGGACTGAGCTGAAACCCGAGAGCGTGGCTGGGCCTGGGCATGGCCAGTGTCTCTGCCACCCCGGGTCACACTGGCTTCCTGGGCAACCTGACCCCAAAGAGGTGGAGGTGCAGGCGGAGGCTCAGAGCGAGCCCCGGCCCTGTGCTATCTCTGTTTCTGCCTCATCTGGGTCCCGCAGGCCCCACTCAGAGCCATGGGCAGGGAGGGAAAGCGCAACTGCGCAGCTTAGGTTACTGCTGAGCTCCGCTCGGGGTGCTGTGAGGCCGCTCCGAGACTGTGAAATGGGGACCCCCAAGAGGGCCTTGAGCAGGGGCGACACAGGCGGTCTCAGGCATGCGCGGCTTCGCTCCCCGCTTCACCGCAGCCCCGGGGTCAGTCAGGAGGCCGCACAGGTATCGTGCTGTGCTGGGGAGGCGGAGCCAGCGGGACTGGCAGTGGTAGAGGAGGTGAAGGGGCATCTGGGGAGCCCGCCAGTCCCAGAGCAGGGACCAGGAAGTCACCAGGAAGAAGTAGGGACCCCGGAAGGCTGTGAGCAGAGACCTGGCCAGTCTCTTCCCTTGTTGCTGGGACAAAACACCTGATACCACAATTTAAGGAAGAGAGGTTGGTTTTGGCTCAAGTTCCAGCCCACAGTCTGCTGCTCCGAGGGAGGACTGCACGGCACAGGGGCCTGGCGGAGGGGAGCTGCTCCGGCCATGCGGGATCAGAGGCAACGTTTGGAGGGAGGAACCAGGAGCTAGCAGAACGCTCGCAGGCCGCGCCCCTGGACCGCCCCTTCCCACCAGGCGCGCCTCCTAGCTGCAGTCAGTTATGAGTCCCATGATCCAATCACCTGCCAAAAAAGCCCTGTCTATGTGTGCAGGAGGCTTTCCCGAGACCTCTAAGTAGGCACCAGGACACATTAGGTCAGGAGGGTGAGACCATGTGCAGATGGCTTTAGATGCCACCCATCCCCCTGGTGGCTGTTAGAGTGCAGTACGGGGCCTCCTGGGATCCTGCGTCCTGGGCTGATGACGGGTTCCAGGAAGGCAGACCATCCGTGTTGCTGCAGCCCGGGCGGGAGATTTTGGTGTTTACAGTGTCCACACAGGAGAGTGAGACATGGCAGAGGTCCCAAATGTGGGACACCCTGCCAGTTGCTGCAGGGCGTAGCTCTGGGTATTCCAGAACTTTCCATTTTTCAAAGCACACTGGATGTGTGGGTTTTTACAGGAACACTGGCACTTTTCAAATACTAGGATGGCAAACTAAGGAGAAAAGTCGTCTGGGGCCCGCATAAAGCTTGCTGCTGGGACAGCCTGTGCTCCGAGGCAGTGCGTGGATCACAGAACCATCTGCCCCTCGAAGCAGTGGCTTCCCTTCTGCCAGACTGGGCTTCTGTCCCCTATGCCAGACTGGCCCTGGAATGTGTGACTCTAGACCCTGAGAACGTTGGTGCTGGAAGGGGGGTCCCTTTGCTCACTGATGTCAAGACTGGGTCCTGGAGGAGGGGCCGCTGCTTCTCTCCAACACCTGGCCACACAGGGGCCCAAGGCTTCAGGTGCCGGGGTGACCGCAGAAGGAAGGTGTCTGGGTGCCCTCGGGAGGCCTGGGCAGGAGGAAGGGAGGAGCGGGTGCCAGGGCACAGACTGGAGGGGTCCCAGGGGTCCAAGCCCACTGGAGCTGGACAGTGCCACCCGATACAGTGGCTGGGAAGGGCTAGCCTAGTCCAGTGCTTGGAACGCAGGGGCCTGGTGGGGTTTAGGTCAGGAGGGTGAGACCATGTGCAGGTGGCTTTAGATGCCACCTTCATCACCACTTTCCAACCAGCTCATAGGTGTCTCTACTGTGTCCCCATACTCCACCCCTACCCCTGTACCCTCCAGGGCTTCCCAGGGGCCTGCCCTCTGCCAAGCTGCCCTCAGATGCTTCCTGCCTGCCTCAGGCCTGGATGCTGACCACCTTCTGTCCTATGCTTTGACCCCTGAAGGGTGAACAGAAACCTGGGGAGCCCTTCCTGACCCTCTGCCCAGGGGGTGTGGGCCCTGGGACAGGTGTCAGTCTGATGGTGGCTGTCTCATGCGCACCCCTCCTTTCTCTCCACAGCCGATATCATCTCTACTGTTGAGTTCAACCACACTGGGGAGCTGCTGGCCACAGGCGACAAGGGCGGCCGGGTCGTCATCTTCCAGCGGGAACCTGAGGTATGTAGAGGGGCTGGGATGGTCAGATGGGAGGGACAAGTCTGGGGCTGGGTCCAGTGGGAAGGTTAGGGTCAGCTGGCAGGCTGGGGGTGAGGACTGGACAGTAGAGGGGCCACTGGCCACAATCAGGGTTGCTTCCCTGATTCTGCCTACCCCACGGGACCCTGGGGAAGGGGTGGAAGGATGGGGCCAGCCGTGGAGTACCGGGGTCCAGTGGGCTTGCGGAGGCCCTCTGAGCCCCGCCACCTGCAGGAGTTGGCTGCTTGCTCGCTGCCTGTTACGCTGCTGTCCCTGATCCCTGGAAACCAGGCAGACCCTGTGCCTGCCCTTGCCAAAGCCCCAGTGGGGCCTCCCCCTGCCTGGGCGGCCTGGCATTGTGCCCACCAGGGAAAGGAAGGCGGAGTCAGCATGCCCACTCCTGTCAGCCCCCTGCAGCCCAGACTGGGCTTGGTGGCTTTTGCTCTGGCTGCAGCCCTCCCAGCCCATGTCACTTCCTCCCCCCACCTGACAGAATGAACCTAAGATAGCTGCCCTGAGGGTCATTTCAAAACCCTGAAAGCCCCTCAGGATAAAGGACACCTCCCCCCCCCCATTTACTGAGCACTTACTATGTTTGGATGCCTTGTTAGTGGCTCCTAATTGCTTCCCCCCACCCCCCAGGTGACTAGGTGACGATCCATACCCTTTACAGATGGGGAAGGTCCTGAGTCACCCAGCTGGTGTTAGTGGAGCAGGCCTGGGACCTAGGCTGTGGGCACTGAGACCAGGAGGGGAGGGTGAGCAGGCAGGGGAAGGGGGAGCCGAGTCCCTCTGTGCTCACCCAAGTCTGCCCCAGCCGATACTGGGAGTGCAGCCGGGGGCTTACGCTGGTCACCAGGGACAGGTGAAGGACACCTACACATCAGCACTCTAGGCGGCACCATGTAGGGGCCAGGGCTCCGGGCAGTGCTGCAGCTGGCACTGTGGGTTTCACAGGATGGACCAGAGTCACTGGGCCACGGTGCCAGGCCTGCCTTCTGCTGGGCTCCAGAGAGCAGTGAAATTGGCAGAGCCAAGCCGCTCCATTTGGAAGTTTTCTCCCCATCCTGCTCCCTCTGCTCTTGGTCATCACTGTGATTGTCTTTGAGGAAGTGAGGTGGAGGCAAAAATATTAAAAAGCTTTAGAGCTTTTCAAAAACCAAGCCAGGACTAAGAACCTGAAAACAGAGGCTTTTAAATAACGAACAAAAAAATGTGTACTCTGAAAAATGAAGAGGAAGGCAGGAAGCTGTTGCTGCCTTCCCTTGTCGCTGTGGTCTCACGGGTTGTGAACTTGAATTGTGGGAGGACCCACCCATTGCTGTTGGGGGCTCCACGGGGAGGGGGGTCACTCCAAAGAGCTGTGCTGTCCCAATAGGATGCCAAGGGACCCTGACTGTCCTGGGTGTGACCCTGTGGGACAGCCACCCCAGGGCAGTCTCTGCTCCAAAGTACAGGCCTTCAAGTTTGGCCCAGGATGGACACACAGACACCAGGCACAGGCCAGGGCCTCAGGCTTAGCATCCGACCCCAGCAGAGGGGACGGTGACCGCTTGGTGACCACATGGCCTTGGAAGGTACCTGGCTTCTGAGCCTCTACCTCTGCCTGCAGGGTGAGGTGGTCCCATGCCCTGTACCCCAGGGAAGAGCGTAAGCACAGAAGTGAGGTGTGAGGCCCTTGGCTCAGGACCCAGCACATAGTGGGTGCTCAGTAAACCCGAGCTCGCTGGACGCTGCTCTTGCCACCACGGCTGGGTAGCAAGTTGGTGAAGCGCAGGGCTTCCTTTGGATGCCGAGGTGGCCCCACCGTGCTGCTTGGAAGCTGGTCCCAAGGTGGTGTCAGGCCGTCCTGCCACTCAACCTACCTGTGGGTTTCCTTGCAGAGCAAAAATGCACCTCATAGCCAGGGTGAGTACGACGTCTACAGCACCTTCCAGAGCCACGAGCCCGAGTTCGACTATCTCAAGAGCCTGGAGATAGAGGAGAAGATCAACAAGATCAAATGGCTTCCACAGCAGAATGCGGCCCACTCACTGCTGTCCACCAACGGTGAGCTGGGGCCAGCAGAAGCCATGCGTGACTCTCAGGCTGCGGGGGCACTTCTGGGCCTTCAGATCCTGAAGTGGGAGGTCCAGAGCTGCCACTGAGAGCAGGCTGAGCTCAGGTCATTCGCACTGTAAGCCATGCCACCTGGCATCTTTGTGCATGCTGGCCTTTGGGGTGCAAGGGAACCAGGTCAGGAAGCCTAGAAATCGCAGGACATGGACTGAACTCACCAGTTCCTTCTCCTGTGTGTGCTGGTGTTTATTCTGGGTCTTCTGCTAGGTGGGGCTCTCCAGAGAAACTGGAACTGTGGGGGAGCGAGCTAACAGTTGGGGGAGAGAGAGAGAGACAGACAGACGGAGGTGGACTCAGGGGTTGGCACAGGTGACTGGGAGGATGACCAGCCTGGTATCTGCAGGGCGGGCCGAGACGGAGGGTGTAGGTTAAAGGTCCCCCATATCAAACTTGGTGCTAGCTGGCCTTTGACTGATTGGATGAGGCCCGCCACGTGGTGGAAAGTCACTGGCTTTGCTGACTTCAACCTCATCTAAAAATCTTTTGGGCTGGGGAAATAGCTCAGTGGCCTAAGTACCTGCCTGCCAAGCGTAAGGTCCTGAGTTGGATCCCTGGTACACAAAAAGAAAAATACCTAAAATGTTTTACAGCAGGACCTAAGACCCATTTAACAAAGTATCTGGGTACCGTGGTGTAGCTGAGGTGACTCCTAGAATTAACCATCACAGCTACTAACTCTCCTCTGTGAGTCCAGAGAAATGAGACCCCCCGGAGCCCGCTGTGGGTAGTGAGGTGCTGCTCCTTCAGGAAAAGTCGCTTTGTCAGCTAAGGACTTTAAAGAGTAGGCTGGTTAGCCTGTGATCCAGCACTCTGGGAACTGGGGCAGAAGGATCCAAAGTTCAAGCCCCGACTGGCAGTTTAGGGACTTAGTGGGACCCCATCTCAAAATTATAAAGGAATGAAGAAACGAGTGAACGGGGACGTAGCTCAGTCCTGTATCTGGAGCCGATCGGAGCCTCAAAGGCAGCACTGCCTTTGTGATGAGGAAGAAACGGCGTGAGGACGCACTGCGCATGTGTACACCTGTACGCCAGCAGGCACACTGTCCCAGAGCAGGGTGACGCCAAGTGGCCTCTGGATGTCCATGCCCCCGTGCAACCGGCTTCGGTGGGTGCTGCGTCTTCTGACTTGGTGGTGGGTCATGTGTCCGGTTTCTCTGTTCTGTCCTTAAAGATAAAACCATCAAATTATGGAAGATCACCGAGAGGGATAAAAGGCCCGAGGGCTACAACCTCAAGGACGAGGAGGGAAAGCTGAAGGACCTGTCCACGGTGACGTCACTGCAGGTGAGTGCAGTGCGGGTCCCAGCAGAGGGAGGGGCACTATGCTTCCTTCATGAAACCGAGAGGCCTTCAGGACTAGCGGGGCCTTTGGGTTGCAGCCAGGGGCAGATTTCCATCCTGGCTGGGCTGTGTCCTTGTCCGGTCCCTGGGGCTTCCTCCTCTGCTGTGTGCCTCAGTTTCTCACCAGCAAAATGCCCCATTTTCATTGCCCTCCCGAAGAGATGGTGCAGGTTCGTGAATGCCCAGCCCCGGGCGTGCCACCAGGAGAGGGGGGTAATCAGTGCAGCCACTGCGAAGGAGAAATAAATGTTCGACCATGCTGGCAAATGACTAGCAAATTGTACAAATAGATTCTGAGGTTGCGGGGAAGCCGTTTCACTTCCAGTTTGGGCAGTGCGGGTAGAAATTCCCTCTCCCTGCACCCCCAGCCTAGCGAGGTTTACATGGCTTTGTCTAGTGGGAGGGACGCAATTATCACGTCTTGATTGGCTTGGAGTTTGAGGCAGAGCGGGAGGCCCAAGGGAATCACACCTGCTTCCCTCCCAGCATGGGAGTTTTTATGTCACCTATGTCCCCAGACGCTAACTGTGAACTCAGGCTGTGAAGGAGGGGAGCTTGGGTGTTTATTTGTTAGGGTTCTCCAGGGAATCGGAATCAACAGTATAGACCATTGCACAATGGATTAAGGGGATTGATTAGACCAACCCAGGATGAGAGGCGCAGAAGCCACTGGGAAGAAAAGAGGGCTCAAGGAGGCAGCACTAGCCCGAGGCTGCAGGCCGGAAGCTCCCTGCGAAGCCGCTGGTGAGTCTGCCTTGCAAGCCTGGAGAAGCTGGAGTCTGGTGACAACAGGTGACGGTGGCCAAAGACCCTGCGCCATTCTAATAGAGCTCTTCAAATGCAGTCGAATTTCCTCCTTCCATCTTGCTGCAAGTCCATTGGATAGAGCCACCCATATCAGGGCGGGCTTTCCCTCCCCATTTGCTGGCCCACTTGCCAGTCATCTCTAGACCCACCCATCCACCCAGATCCACCAATCCACTAGGTGACTCCTAACCCAGTCAAGTTGACATAATTAACCAGCACAGGTGACCTGGTCTTTCCTTTTATTTGCTGGGATCTTTCTTGTTCGTGGTACTAACACCAGCCCAGTCATACATGGCTTTCTGCCGAGTCTGAGTCATGTTGGCGGCAGCCAGTGTGTACTGAGTAGCTGTTGTGTGAGGAGCCGTGTTAGGACCCCAGAGATACACCCAAGACTCAGTCTGTTCCGTTAAAGTGTCCCCAGGCCACACTCAAGGAGACATACAGAGTCACCAAACACTTTTGTTCAGTTCTGCGACAGACACACCAGGGCCGTGAGAGGCCTTTCTCCACCTTCTCTATTTGGGGAACTTCTAGGCATCCCTTAAAACCTTATCAGTTTTTACCTCTGTAAAGCTTTTTCTCCACAAGCCAGAAGAAAGTCATTACCCTTCCAGTGTCCATGCCAATCTTTTGTATCCAACACCATTCTGTCCTCAGTGCTGGTGTTCATCTTCCTGACCACTGCTTTGACCAGGTTGTGACTTTCAAAGTCAGGGGGAGGCTGTTTTATTCCTGATGTCTCCAAACCTGCAGGCAGGCCTCCTCCTGTCTTCCTGTCCCGTTTATTTAAATGGTCATGGAGACTGGTTTGGAGGATGGCAGTGCCAGGAGGAAGCACTGTGGCCCTAGGAGGGAGAGATGCCAGGACTTTGCTGGGCCAGGGATGTCCTGCGCTTGCTGGCCTGGCGCATCCGTCTTCCTGTCTCTCCTGTCCAAGGGGCCCCAGTGTGGATGGTGGCTGCGCCCCGAGGGCAGGGCAGGTGAGCAGCAGAGCTGGACGATTGGACAGGCAGGAACAGGCACAGGGAGGCCCCTGCAGGTCTAGGCCACACGTGATCCACCAGAGCCAGGTGGGCACAGGTGCCCTGGTGCATGCAGACACAGGCTGTCATCTGTATTACCCGCCCTCAAGCCCAGGGACACAGCCCACTGTTCTCTCAATCAGTCACCATGTGTGCACTCAGTGCAGGATGTTCCTGGGCTGGGCCTCGACCAAGGGGCAGGGAGATGCGTAAATGAGACAACACGTCACACCTGAGGGGTGCCCCATTCCCTGGGAGCAGATGACTGGCTGCACCATGATGGGGGCCCTGGGGTATGAGGGTGCTGGGCCCTTGGCTCAGGGTGCACTTGGGATGGGATGGGTTCTGTTTCCTATACGCCCTAGGTCTACGGAGAGGAGGACAAGGCCCTGCCTGTCTATCTGTCTGGCTGGCTGGCACCTCTGCAGGCCCCAGGGTTGAACAGGCTGTGTCCGATGCACACTATGACGTTTGCCAGGGGCCCCAGAGAGACAGAAGTGTCCCGGTGGATCTAGTGAGCACCGCAAGCAGAGGGCACAGTAGAAGCAAGGACCTAGGTCTGATGTCCCTGCAGGGACCGCCAGCTCCCGCCACTGTGACGCACAATTCAACACCCCAGTGCTTCGCACAGAAATGTGCTTCTCGTGGCGAGGTCCGGGGGGCTGATCTGTTTGGCTGAGGCTCTCTGAAAACTTTTTCCACGCACATTCATAAGGCGAGAGTCCTCATGGTCCAGGGAAAGACACTGCTGTGTAACTGGCTGCTCACAAGACATGTGACACTTTGCTCACATTTCATTGGTCAGAACCAGTCATGTGGCCAGATTCAGACGCAAGACATGCTGGGAAGTGTAGTCCCCATGTAGATTGCATCTTCCAAGCATATTATTGCAGAAGGAAGATGCAGTACTTGGTGGACAGTTAGCTGGCTCTGCTGTTACCTTCTTCCATTTTACAGATGAGGGGATTGGGGGCAGAGGGCTTCAGCTACTTGTTCTCTGACACACAGTGGAGTGGGTAAGCACCCAGGCTGGGCTGAGAACCAATCCCAGGAGTGCCTGGTAGAGCCAGCAGCTCTTCTTGCAGGGATGAGCGGGGGCGGATGTTTGCATTGTCTCTGCTGATTTCCATCCTGGAAGCATTAGGGTGGAGTGGTGCAGGCTTTCGTTAAGGTCCCATGCCTGTGTGCCCTGCTGCCCTCCCGGCCCATGCAGCCCAGCTCTGACCTCGCCCTCGCAGGTGCCGGTGCTGAAGCCCATGGATCTGATGGTGGAGGTGAGCCCAAGGAGGATCTTTGCCAATGGCCACACCTACCACATCAACTCCATCTCCGTCAACAGTGACTGTGAGACGTACATGTCAGCCGATGACCTGCGCATCAACCTCTGGCACCTGGCAGTCACCGACAGGAGCTTCAGTATCCTTGACTGTAGGGAGGGCGGCGTGTGGTGGGCAGGAGAGGACTTCTGCTCTATTCCACGCCTTCATCCAGGACCCTTCCAGTGAGCATGTGCCTGAGGCCCAAATGCAGGATCGTACGTTGTCTGCTTAGGAAAATACAATTGATGTGGCTGCTGGGGGTCACCCTTGAGTGGCCATGGTTCCTGTCACCCTGGCCCTACAGGGACTGCAGGAGGGAAAGAACCCAGGGTCCACTGCCCTAGAGGGACAGGTGGCTCATGGATAGCTCCCTCATGGTCCCCTCCTCCAAGGCTCATGACAGCCTGCACCTGAGATGGATGGACAGCTTTGGGGTCCTGCCTAGAGCTTAGAGTGGGGTACAGGGGGACAGGCTCCACTTAGTGTTCTTGTTTGAGGTTAAGTTTGTGGCAGGTGGTTGACTGATTCCTACCAGACAGTGAGGACAGGTGGCTGACCTGGAGCCCTACATCCTCTTGCCATGCATTTTTCTAAGTTCTATGAATTAGCTTTAAGTCAGGATGCTAATTTTTTGCCTAAATCACTGTCTTTTGGAAAGGAGTTAGCTTCACCATTATGGATTAGAGCATATCACATGAGCCAGCTGTGATGCTGCTTACCCACAATCCTATGCAGAAGGCTGAGGCAGGAGGGTCCCTGTGAGTACAAGGCCAGCCTGAACTGCATAGGCAGACCCTGCCCTAAAATAAAATAAAAAATAAAGTATACATCACAAATAGGGAGCAGCCGTAAAGATAAACGCCATGAAAGCGTTTGTGGCCTTCATGCTTAACCAAGGGCCTGGCTGCACTCTGGCAAGGTGCAGGCTGTGCAAGTTTGTGCATTTTGGTTGCTTTTCTATCACTGCTGAGAAGAAACGCCCAGTGCCCAGCGTTAGGGAAGGAAAGGGTGGTTTGGCTCCCAGCTTGTGGAGCTTTCACTTCATTCTGGGCTGGCTCCAAGGCAGGGTGGCACAAGGCAGAGGGCGGCAGCTGACAGGCAGAAGACAGCAAAAGTAACAAGAGCAAATGGGCCAAAGGGGAGGAGCGTGCACGCAAGCCTCCCTCCCTCCCTCCCTCGTGTGCCATGCAGGCCGCCTGCCCCCGGGCGGGCGTGGGGCCCACACCCTGATCCCAGCATTGGGCCACGAGTCGTTCACATCTGGAAGCCCTCCCATGACTGCGTGCAGTTCGATATCTGGACACATCCGTAACAGAGCTGCCGTGTGGAGCCTGCTGGCTGTGCGTGCTCGGTGAGCTCTGGAGCTGTGGCGGGGGCCAGTGTGGACCTCGTTTATTCGGTGTGTTTGCGTTCATTCAGACCTCAGGCTCAGCAGCCTGATGACTCCAGGCAGCCATATCAAGCTCCAAGAAAAATGGACAAAAGTCTTCTCCTAGGGTTTTTTTTAATTTTTTTTTTTTTTTGGTTGTTTTCCTTTGGTGGTAATTGGGTTGAACCCAGGGCCTGTGCACTGAGCTGCGCCCCTAGAGAGAACATTGTTTTTTTCAATTTTGAGGTAGGTCCTGCTAAGTGGCCTAGTCTGAACTTGATCATGCAGTCTTTCTGCCTCAGCCCTCTGGAGTGCTGGGATTACAGCCATGGGCCACCATGCCTGGCTTTTGTAAGGTTATTTTTAAGAGACAAACTATTCGCTTTCATGCCCCAGTCGCTAATCAGGGTCCAGCAACAAGCTGGTGTTAATTTCTCTCATAAGCCCTCACTAGTCAGTGTCCCCACTTCTCCGCTCGGTAAAATTCTTTTTCCCCAGCTGCAGCTCAACATCTGTTTGGAAACCTCTTGTGCCTTTAGTCCCAGTATTATGAGATGGTTGCATGGCTCCGGGCAGTTTTACTTGAGCTCAGTGCATCCTGAAGGTAACAAACTGCCCAGGAGGCCAAGCTGTTGGACCTCTGCTTTATTTTTAGCTCTGGAAGAATTTTAAAGATGGTTCAATTGATTTTTCTCCCCTGAACGATTTCTCATGCTGACAGTGGGCACCTCAGAAGCCAAGGGCTCAGGTGGATTTGGGATTCGCATTCCTGGTGCAGGCCTGGGAGGCCAGCTGGCCAGAGGGAGGGGACCCAGGAAAGGCGGTGATTGACCCTCAGGCTTGGGCCACAGTGACTGGGTTTCTCCTACTTGTATCTAAAACCCAACCCTTCTTTTCCCATCTGGAAGGTAACTGGGAAGAGGTCGCACCTTTACTTCCTGCCCAAGGGCCAGGTCAGCCCCTCCTTGGGGTTGGGGCCCAGGGCTTCCACTGTCCTTGGTGCTGGCCCCACCACCAGCCCATGGTACACATGGCTGCCCTAGTACAGCACCTCCTTCTCGCTGTCACCTCACCTGGGCACTTCCTGCATGTTGCACAGTACTCTGTGCAGTTGGCAGCGTTAACATCCCCCTTGGACCAAGGAGGAAGCTGAGCCGCACAGGGTTGGGTGATCAGCCAGGTTGTGCAGCTGGGAAGCCAGGCTGGGACCCTTGCTGGGGCTGCTGGGTGCGGCAGGCGCATGCCCACCTGTCTCACTGGCCCACCTCTCCATCCAGGGTTGGCTGTGTTAGGTTTCTTTCTCCTGCCACTCCAGAGGAGGGCACTGTTCTCCCCATTTTGCACCTTGCCCAGGGGCCTTTGGCATCCGAGCTCCCTCCGGTTGCCCAGCACAATCCGTGCAGCAACATATCCTGGTGCTCAAGGAGGCCCGAGGAAGCTGTGCTTTTCCTGCCATTTCAGGATGGATGGGAGACTGTGTGTGGCTTTCTAACCCTTCCTCTCGTGGAGCAGGGTTCACGTGACTCTAGGATGGGACACAGGCAGCTCCCAACCTCCCAGTGTTCTGCAGCATGCTTCCCACTAGCCTCCGTGACTCGGGCCAGAACCCCGCCAGCTTCCTTCTGCACGCGGGCAGCTGCCACCCGAGCCTCACTTCAGAATCCCTACTGCTCGCCTTCGCTCCTCACCCCGGAACCTCGCTGAGCCTCCCCCATTTTTTATTTTGAGATAAGGTCTCATTGAGTTACTAAGTTTCCCAGGCTGGACTCAGACTTGCAATCTTCCTGTCTCAGCTTCCCAGAGTGCTGGGATTACAGGAGTGCACATGCACACCTGGTTAGGGCCTGAGGTCTGGGAAACCAAGGCATGGGGTCAGCACAGACACTCGCAGGCCTCCTAACAGGTAAAAGCGTTGCACATTCTGCAACCTGCTCAGTTTTTTTGGTTCCCCCACTCCCTGGAGGGAGAGAGAGACTCTGAGTTTGATTGGTTTTGACTCGGCAGACTTGTATTTAACTTCAGCCACATGCCAACCCGTTGCCACAGGTCCTTTCCTCAGGGCTCATGATGTGCTGTCAGCAGGAGTGATCACCATGTCCCATAGACTGAAAGGCAGGGTACAGAGAGGCCGAGGCCACGGGTCATGTGAACTGGGGTTTTGGCTTTCTGGATGTGGTGGGGCAACTGCTGGATTTGCCACCCAGAGAGAGCAAGAAGCAGCAGGGAGACCTCTCGGGAGCAGCCCTTCATACCTTCCAGACAGGGTTCTGCTCCCCAAGAGGGGCTGCACCAGCACAGTCAAGAGGATGCTCTGAGCAGAGACAAGAAGGGGCTGTCACACCCCGAACTGTCCCCACCATCAGCACTTGAATGTCAGGATGAGGCTGTGTCCGGAGGCAGGGTGTTGAAGTCCACTCACCCCAACTGGGCTGGTGTCCTTGAGGAGGAGGAGGATGCAGGATACTTGGACATGAGAGTGTGGGAGTGCAGAGGCCACAAAGAGCCGGTGGCCACCTCAAAGCCCAGGGGACAGGGTGAGGAGGGACCAGCCCGGATGACACTTTGACCTTGAACTTTTGGACTGTAGTGACAACTAAGGAGACAGGAGCCTGTGCATCCCATGTCCCTGCCAGCCCCCATGGGACCTTTCATCACGCGGCCCTCAGCAGAGCGGCCTCCATCTTCCCACCTGCGGCTGCTCAGTTGCCATGGGGACAGCCTGAGAATAGCTCCCAGGGAGATATCTGGATGAACCCCGTTTTGCTGGCTTCGATCCATGGGGCCGCAGCCTCTTCCTCTGCTCAGCAGTGCCTTGCCGAGGGACAGGCCAGGCCCAGTCCTTGCATCCGGCCCTGGGGCCCAGAGTTGAGGGGAGCGTGGGGTGGCTGAGATGCTCTGCTGCCCAACAGGAGGGGGGCACGGGCTGCAGGAAGCCAGCTGCCAGCTCTTTCTGCCATGGTGTCACGTGTGGCTCTGGGCCTCCCTGTCCTCCTGGGTGGACTAGAGCCGGGCTCCCTTCCTGCTGGGAAAGCGTCTGCGTGCTGGTGCCTGGGTACCGCGCTCTGGCGTTGTGGGCAGGTCTGGAAGCTCAGTTTGCCACTGTGCCTTTACAGACCAGGTTGTGGTGGCATTGGACGTGGGTGGCCTTGCTGCGCTGCTTGGGCATTTGTGGAGCCCTTTCCACAGGGGCCTCATGCCACAGAAAGGCAGGGACACCGGGTGGGTGGGGACGCTGAGCTCCACCTTGCGCAGCTTGCCCGGCTGGGCTGGGCTGTAGCCAGGCCCCAGGCGGGGAGGCATCTGTCTCTGATGTTTTTGAGCTCTTGCAGCAGCGGAGCTGCTGGTGCTCCCAGCCAGCCTGGGAGCTGTGGGTGCCCTTGGCCACGGGGGACAAAGCAGCTTCTGTGAAAACCTCTGCAACCCAAGGACTCTGCAGATGCCCTGGATCATGTTTCCTGCATCCCTGACAGGAAGGAGCCGGGCTTCACCATGGGCTGAACACCACGCTCCCTTGTTTCTGAGGTCTTCTGTGGACTCCCTGAGCACCCCTGCCCCGTGGGCACCCTGCTAGGGCAAGTAGCAGCGCCGAATCAACGGCCAGGATCCCTCCCATAATATCAGGCCCTGAGATCTGGTGGCCTAGGGCTTATGTGGGCCAAGCAGGAAGCACAGAGGCAGAGTGGCTTGTCAACGGGGACTGGTTTATAGAGCATGCATCACAGTGACCAGCCATTTCTAAGAGACAGAAGCACCCAGAACTGGAACAGGAATAGGAATTATCACCCGGGCAACTAAGAAACTGAGGTATACTGGCCGGGGGCATTTTCTGTCACGATCCCGCGCCCCACCTTGCCTGATGGACCCCGCGGCCCTCACCCGTCCTTCAAGGCTGCACCTGCTCCAGCCATCCTTGTCTCTCCCAGCTCCAGGGCTGCCCCACTCAGTCCCTGCCTCCACTTCCACGTGGCTGCACCTGTCAAGTGTCTCTCCTCAGGGCACCTCATAGGAGGACACACTTAGGCTGGGCTTAGGGCCAGCCAGGGTGGTCCTACCTCAAGATCCTGAAGTTTACTGCATCTGCACAGAGTCTTCTCCCAAGTGAGGCCCGGCCAGGTTCTGTGGATCGGGGTCTGTGCACGCTTCTCTTGGGGACCACTTACAGCCCCTGGTCCTGCAGAACTTCACGCTAAGTTGAGGTGTCAGGGACTCGAGGATTTTGCCTATCCCACCTCCTCCTCCGCCTTGCATGCCTGCCCCGTCCTCTCAGTGCCTGCCTGCCGGGCCTCACAAGCCTTTCCTGCAAGGAGCACAACTCAGCTGCCAAGAGTGGCTGAAAGCAAGACCCAGTCCCCTGGGCAAGCAGAATTAGGTGAGAAAGCCGCCCACGGATGCCTTCTGGGTGAAGCTGAATTCCTCTCACCCTCAAGGGAGCTGGCCCCAAGGTGACCTTGAACAGCAGTGTGAGAGGTGGCGGAGAGGGGACAGGCAGGACAGTCCTCCAAAGAAAGCGTCAGTGTGGCCCTGCCCTGTCTGCTGTGCAGAAGGACAACCAAGCGCTGCAGGATGGGCTGATGGTCTAGGACCCAGTGACCAGGGAGCCAGCGGTGCTCATGGCTGCAGGATACTGGGCTGCCTTCCAGGTGCTGCGTGGGTCTCTGGGCCTTGGGGACACAGGGGCAGGCTGCCCAATGGTGTCCCAGCCACGCTGGCTGTGACCCCATTTTGTGTTACAGGGAAACAGTCCTTTGATTAAGAAATGTGATGGGCTCCTGAAGGGCTGCTGTCCTAGAGGCTCTGGTGACTATAGCTTGGCTGAGTTTGCCACACCAGTGAGGGTGGCAGACAAGAGTCTGGGTGGCCCTGAAAATTCCCAGCATCCAGTGGAGCATAGAGTGACAGCACAGTGACTCCCTAAAAGGATCGGTGATTCCCAGTTTCTGGCTCCTCACTGGCTTTCAGGAGGCGAGAGGAGCACAGGCCGAGAGCCCGCCATGGCCTGGGGTGGATGTGGGACAGTGACATTCTTACTGCTGAGGGTGGGCAGGGCCAGAGGCGCTCACATGGGCTCAGGGCTTCAGCGTGACAGCAGGGGACACTCCTGAGCCTTGCGATGCTGTCAGGCAGCAGGCAAAGGGCTTTGCCTCTTAGAACCTTCTCTGAAACCCGTGAGGCTGAGCATGTAACCCACTTCACAGATGAGAAACTGAGGCAAGGAGCACTGGGGCTTGGGGTCACACCTTGGTCCTGGGACTCTGGGGCTCACCAACAGTGCAGAAAGGGTTGTAACTGGAGTCAGAGACCCGAGGTGTCACCACGACCTGGGACCAGAAGGCAGCTCCTGGGGCAGAGCTGAGAGGGAACAGCTTTCAGTCATCTCACCCTCACTGGGGAGGGATGCAGGCAGGGAGGGGCAGTGGGCCTGGCTCTGAGGGTCGGGTCAGGCTTGGGACTATCCCGCAGCCAGGATGTATCCAGGTCTGGGATCCGAGGCAGCTCCGTAAACATCGCAGGGCACCTGCCACCACTTTCCTTGACCTCGCCGCCCAGACATCGTGGACATCAAGCCCGCCAACATGGAGGACCTCACAGAGGTGATCACCGCATCCGAGTTCCACCCTCACCACTGCAACCTCTTCGTCTACAGCAGCAGCAAGGGCTCCCTCCGGCTGTGCGACATGCGGGCGGCCGCCCTGTGTGACAAACACTCCAAACGTAAGTGGCTGCTCCGGATGGACGGCGGGGGCTGGAGGGGGCCCCTGAGCTCAGCACTGACTGCTGGGGGCCGGTCCCCTCCGGTGCCTGCTCAGCCAGGAGCTGTCTGGCTTCTGGGGCTCCCGAGACTGGGAACCCAGGGGCAGCAAAGCCCCACATGGGGTCAGGACCACCCTCTGCCCCGCAGCCCCCACCTGATCTCCTACCACAGAGCTGGCCTTGCTAGCTCTCTTGGGACTCCTGCTGCAGCTGTCCCAACTCCTGAGCTCCTGGGGGCTGTGTGTGACCTGTCACCTCACCCTAGGGGCCAGCAGGGGGCGCCGTGGGGGTCTGGGGCCCAGGAGAATCCCACAGCCCACATCTCAGCCTGCTGTACTCTTCCCTCCCCCACGGGACGGGCCCAGCGGTGAAGTAGGTGACCCTGGGCCTTCAGGAACCCTGTGGGTCAGGTCCCAGTGCCAGCTGACTTGGAGGCCAGGTGTGCTCCGGGAAGTTCCCAAGGCCAGTTGCTGGCTTTGGGGACATCCTGGGGTCCAGGCCCGTCCTCTCAGCGACCGGGCAGGCAGCGCGACATGCGACGTCAGCTCCTCACACACCTGCGCCAGGGCGGAGCTGATCTGCTCTCTGGCCTGTTCTGCCCGTCCCAGCGCGCAAGTGAGCGGCGCACACTTCCTTTCTCTGGAAGTTGGGGCGACAGACCTGCCCCCCAAGGCGTCGGTGGAGCGCGAGTGTCAGTCTGTGCAGTGTCATCTGAAGGGAGAGGTCTGTTTCGCTGACGAATGCTGTCTGCCTAAGCCCCGAGTCTTTGTTTAAGCGCCGGTGGACTGCCCCTTGCCCAGCCTTACCTGCTTGGCAGCAGTGAGTGGCTGAAATCTGTGTCCACACTCTGTCGGCGCCGGGCTGCCGCCAGCCACTCAGCAGCCCCCCGTTCCCACTTAGCAGGTGGCTGGGGCTGTTTGCAGTCAGAACACGAACGGCTGGGGTTGCACCTTGATGTTGCTAGCGATTTGGAGATTAGGCCAGTTCCTTGCCTTCCACCGGCGTGGTTGATTCCTTGGTGCTGAAAATTCAGGGGTGACAGCCCAGAGGAGGGATGGCTGTCTTGGACCCCGAGGGTCAGGAGCCACTGGGTGAATGAGGGAGCTGACCCCCTGGTCTTGCCCAGCTCGGGGCCGTGCAGGGAGCACGTAGGCCACCCGCCCCTGTCCCTGGTTTCCACCTCCCTCTCTGAAGCCCTGGAAACCTGGATCTTTTGTCTGCTTGGTTGTGACAAGGTAACCATGGAAACCAGCAGGTGAGGCCTCAAAATAGACAGTGATTTCTGCCTTTGACAGCTTGCGGCGTGGAGGGAAAGGCTGAGCCCAGAGCACAGGGGTTTCTTAAACCTGAGGTGAAGACTGTCGCGCTCCTCTGTGGGCCGCAAATGGAGCTGTGCCCTGCGGGAGGCCAGAGGCCCAGGCCCAGGCTGGTGTCTTCCCGAGGCCCCACGGGAGAATCATGTCCTTGCCACTTCTGACCTCTAGAGGCCGCTGTGTCCCTGGGGTGGGCCTGCCTCCTCACTTGCTCCTTCTGCCCTGACTCCAAGGGTCACCACGTGATCACCACCACGATCCCATGCTGACCCTCAGGACCACCCCGACTTCAGGACTCTTATCCCAGCCACGCACCTGCACGGTGCCTTCGGCCGTGGCCCAGCTTCTGGGAGGAGGATGTGGGCTTCTCTAGGGGCCCTCATGATCTACCTTGTCAGTGCACAGAGAAGTTAAGGCATTGGTTCAAGGTCACATAGCGAGGCAGCTCCAGGCTGCCCTCAGAGGGTCTCCTGCGGTCAACCCAGGGTCTTTCTCTTGAAATCTTGGGTTGTGGGTGGGCTAGGTTTCTTTACAGGGGTTGTGTGTGGTGGATGCCTGGGTCCTAATGGGTCTGCAGCAGGAAGCAGCCTCAGCCTGGACCTCATAGGTACAGGGGCAGAGCCAGGGCACGGCTCCCAGAGATGCCAAGGCCCTGTGGCTGGGTCTCAGTGCTCACATGGCAGGGCAGAGGGGCAGGGGGCAAGGGGTCACGGCCGGAGCTTAAATGGATCATGAAGCCGCAAGGCCACGGGGGCCTCTGAGCGGGCAGGGACTTGGCCTGGCCTGGCAGGGCTGCAAAATGAGGAAGAAAATCTCGGAGAGGAAAGGAAAGAATGAAGTGGGAAAACATAACTCAAGTTAGCAGTTCCTCCCTGGCCCAGTGTCTCTGGGCTCTGTCTCTGTAGTCCCCGCATCCACTCAGGCTCAGAGAAGTTGGGGCCACACAGCAGTGCGGCCAGGGCCCTGGGTTCACCACCTCCAGCAGCCTTGCCTCAGTATGTGTGTGTCTGGGGCCCTGCAGGACGGGGTGCAGGGGTGGTGGTGGCGGCTTGGGATCCAGTTAGGAAGGAGGGTGTCGGCCACAAGTAGGGTCCTGAACCTGGGTCCTGGGGCACCGAGGAGCCAAGGAATGTTAGGTAAGCGGAGGACACAGTCAGAGTTGTGTGAGCCAGGGGTAGAGGCTGGGGGTAGGGACAGACGGGACAGATTTATCTGTCTTGTGAAAAAGATTGTATCAGGAATTTCCTTTCCCCTCTGGCCCATTTGTCTTTAAAAGACCATAAAAATTCTGGCACGGTCCCTCACTCTACCCCAGCGCTCTGGGAGGCTGAAGCAGGAGGATCGCACATTGGATAAACTGGCCTGGGTGAGCTAGGAAGAAACTTACCTCGGAATAATCAAAATAAACAAAAGGGACAGGAATGGAGCTCAGCGCAGAGGCCTGGTTTCAATCTCTGGTACCACCACAAAACGTGGGGGTGAGGAAAGCAGAGAGGGAGGGAAGATGGATCAGAAGTGCCTGAGTACAGCCTGGACTGGTGCGATGTAGCCGGCGTCCCTTGCAGGTCCTTGCAGCCTTTGGCCTTGGGGTTGCCTCCTCAGCCACCCCAGCCCTGAGCACGGGTGCACCTCTGCTGCAGGGCCCCATTGCAGCCTCACCCTACAAGGCATGCTGGGACTTGGGCCAGCCCTGATGTCTTAGGGTAGTTGGGCCAGAGAACCAGGGTCATCCCAACGTAGGCACAGGATTGGCTCAGTTTGGATTGCTGGCCCCAGTGGCAGAGATGCTGTCGGGTCTAGAGAGGGTCCCCATGAGGGTCCCCACGGGCCTGGTCAAGGGCTGGAGTGGGGCCGGGGCTCCGCTCCCTGAGAGCGGTCAGGCCCCTTCCCATCTGCCTAGCAGCCTGGAGTCCCACACCTCTTCCCATGAGCCCTGTGCTCTGCTGCCTAAGGCAGCACTGAGCCCTGCTGCCCAAGGCAAGGAGTCATGCAGAGCCACGTTGTGGTCATTTCTGACTTAAGGCAGAGAAGTGAGCGAGCCCACGCTGCACGGGTCCAGTCAGCTGAGCCTGCAGGTGCTCAGCATGGCCCCTGGGAGACCTCACTGTCCCGTCCATGCCCTGGCCTTGCCTCCAGCTCTCTGTGGCTTCCCGTGGACAGAGCCCAGCATTTCCCTGGCCCATAGCCCTCTGTGCCCTGTCCAGCTTGGCTCAGTCAGAACACTGGAGCCCAGAGGACGTTGGGCAGGGAGGGCGGCAGAGGGCTCCGGGGCATGCACGAGCCTTTGCCTGCTGGGAAGCAGCTTCCTTCCCGCTCCCTGCTGGGCTGAGGTGATGATGAGGCTCTGTGGCCTGGCCTCAGGATCCAGAACCCCCTTCCTGCATGGGGAGCGACCTCCACCTCCACCCTCTCAGTGGCTCCCACCTGCCCAGTGCCCGCGTCCTTGCATCGCTCCTCCCCTCCTGCTCCTTTGTCTGTGCAGCCCTCAGTCCAGCCAGCCTCAGGGCCTTAGCACAAGCTGCTCCTGCTTCCTGGAGAGCCCCTTGCCCAGAGGTCACTGCCGGAGGGCAGGAGCTGGGGACAGGGGGGACTCCAGCTGCCTGTAGAGGGGTGCTGGCAGAGAACAGCGCATCTGCAGGAGGCAAAGGCAGGAACAGCGTGGGCTTGGACTGGGAGGGAAAGAGGGGCCCCGGATGCGAGGCTCCAGGAAAGGAGGGGTGCTCATGGGCCCCGGAGCTCTGGTCAGCATTCCGCTTCCTTATTTCCAGCCTGGACACACATAGCAGGCACAGGCAGGGCTGTCACCAGCCAGTTTTCATGGGAACAGCAGAAGGTTTGTCATTTATTTAAATCCTTGTCTCTTCCCATGGTGGTGTTAAGGCTTGGAAATGCAGGGTCCTGCTCCCCACCTGCTCCCACCCCAGGGCTGCTGTAGGATGCGATGGCACTCCTGACACCAGAAACACCAGAGGCACCGTGCCGGGACTGGCGGCAGAGTCACCAGTCGGGGCCAGCAGGGGGCAGCAGCGTGCGTGTGGCTCTGTGGCCCAGGCACGCTTTCTAGTTTACTTAGCTATGAAGTGGGAATAATAAGGACATCAGCTGACATTTTCATTGGAGCTTATATGAGCTAATACAACAGATAATAAGACATATAGAGTGTGTTTAAATAAAGTAATTGTTACAGTGAAAGATGCACCGCCATTGAATCCCCTCAAAATGGCCCCTCTTGGGCTGGGGAGATGGCTCAGTGGAGTAAGCGCTTCCCTGGCAAGCGCAAGGGCCTGAGTTCAAACCCCGGTTCCACCAAAAAATAAATAGATAAATAAAATTAATTAATCAAAATAGCCCCCTCCCGCTTTCAACACGCTGACCCCTCCTTGTTCTTGCTGCCTTCTGAGGCATTTCCGGAGTCGTCCTCCTTCCTCAGGGTCTTTATGAGGCATGATAAAAAATACAGTGACTGCTGCCACCGAGCGCCACCCAGCAGAAGGGAAGCTCGGGAAAGCCTGGCATTCGCGTGTCGCCGCCA